GTAAAGGGGCACCTGGGTGGCTCAGTTGGCTGAGTGTCTAACTTTTGATTTGGGCTCAGGTCATGATCTTTCGGTATGCGAGATCGAGCCCCACATTGGGTGCCACGCTGACCGCACAGAGCCTGCTTGGGATTTTCTGTCTCCCTCTTTCTCTACCCCGCTCATGCTTGCTCTGTCTTTCTCGAAATAAACAAACATAAAACAAAAGTTGCAGAGCTTGTAATGGCATATGATTCAGTTGAATAAGAAAATGATGCTTTTAGTCAAATAAGATGGCCCCAGCACTAAACTTGCAGAATGACAGTTAGTGGCTAGGAAGCAAATTCCAGAGATAAGACTAGGATACTCTTTTTTTTTTTTTTTTTTTTAATGTTTTATTTATTTCTGAGAGAGAGAGAGAGAGACAGAGACAGTGTGAGCAGGGGAGGGTCAGAGAGAGAGAGAGGGAGACACAGAATCTGAAACCAGCTCCGGGCCCTGAGCTGGCTGTCAGCACAGAGCCTGATGCGGGGCTTGAACCCCTGAACCGTGAGATCATGACCTAAGCTGAAGTCAGACGCTCAACTGACTGAGCCACCCAGGTGCCCCAAGACTAGGATACTCTTTTAAGAAATGCTGCCCTATCACTAACAGTGTGTGGGAAAACCCACATATTGATGTTCGTATGAAAAGAGATTCAGAATTAGATTTAGTGTACAAAATTTTTAGAAATACTTTATTCAATTTATGTTGCTTAGACTTCTTTTTTATATACGCATCTTACTATTAAAAAAATCTATGTCCAAGTCTAAAAGTAGTAAAATAAAAATCCTATATGATTATATGCTGTGTAGTTTAACTGGCAACTCTTTCCTGGTGGTGCATACAATTGAAGTTCTCTTTGATTTGGATATGATAAATTGAATGGAGGCTAACACAGGCAGTATGTCTGTGAATTTCCAAATACCTCCGTTGAAGGAATGGAGTTTGGTGACTTCTGTCGTTTTGGTGGGAATGAGGCTGTTGCCTGGAAATGAGATAGGAAGACCCTGTAATTTCTTCACAATTCACTGCTACACTTGTTTGCAGACACAGCATAGGTTGAAGGTGAGCTTGCTTCTCATACCATGATTTATAACTTGTTAACATAAATCACAGATTGCATTCTGAATTAGGTAACATTTTATTTATCATTCGTTGAGCATTTTAAAATTATACTTTTCCAATATAAAAAGTAATATATGTTAGTATGGAAAATATTCGGCATTAAAAAGCGGGTATGTATGATTGTGTAATCAGCTGTATTTCTTCTTTAAATTTCTTAATTTTTTTTTTTTTTTTTTTTTACTGGAACAAACAATCCTAAAACTTGTGTGGAGCCACAAAAGGCCCTGAATAGACAAAGCAATTCTGAAGAAAGAAAAACTGGAGACCTCATGATTCTGGGTTTCAAGCTATATTATAAAATTGTAGTCATCAAGACAGCATGGTACTGGCACAAAAACAGACCCATAGATCAATGGAACAAAATAGAAAACCCAGGGGTAGACCCACAACTATATGGTCCACTAATTTTGACAAAGCAGGAAAGAATATCCAATGGAAAAATAAAATGGTCTCTTCAACAAATGGTGCCAGGTAAACTAGATGGTGACATACAGAAGAATGAAACTGGACCACTTTCTTACACCATACACACAAATAAGTTCAAAATGGATGAAAGGCTTCAATGTGAAACAGGAAACTATCAAAATCCTAGAGGAGAAAACAGGCAACAAACTCTTTGACCTTGGCTGCAGCAACTTCTTACTAGACACGTTGCCGTTGCCGAAGGCAAGGGAAATAAAAGCAAGCGCGAGCTACAGGGACTTCATCAAGATAAAAAGCGGCTGCAGGGTGAAGGAAGCCATCAAAAAGATTAAAAGGCTACCGACAGAATGGGAGAAGATATTGGTAAACAACATATCTGATAAAGGGTTAGTATCCAAAGTGTATAGAGAACTTACTAAACTCAATATCCAAAAAACAAATAGCCCAGTTAAGGAGTGGGCAGGAGTGCCTAGTTAGCTCAGTCGGTTAAGTGTCTGACTTTGGCTCAGGTCATGATTTCACAGTTCCTGAGTCTGAACCCTCTGTGCTGTCAGCACAGAGCCCCCTTCAGATCCTCTGTTCCCCTCTCTCTCTGCCCCTTCCCGGATCTCTCTGTTTCAAAAATAAACACTTAAATGGGCAGAAGACATGAATAAATGTTTCTGAAGATGACATCCAGATGGCTAAGAGATACTATGAAAAGACAGTCAACATCACTCCTTATTGGAGAAATACAAATCAAAACCACAATGAGTTACCACCTCACACCTGTCAAAGTGGCTAAGATTAACACAAACAACAGGTGTTGGCGAGGATGTGGAGAAAGGGGAGCCCTCTTATATGGTTGGTGAGAATGTAAACAGTGGCAGCCACCTTGGAGAACAGTATGGAGGTTCCTCAAGAGACTAAAAATAGAAATATCCTTTGATCCAGCATTTGCACTATTAAGTATTTACCAAAAGGATACAAAAATAGAGATCCCAAGGGGTATATGCACCCCAATGTTTATAGCAGCATCATCAACAATAGCTAAACTATGGAATGAGCCCTAATGTCCATCAACTGATGAATGGACAAAGAAAATATAGTGTGTGTGAGTGTGTGCACGTCCACACGTGCACACACGCACACACTAGAATATTACTCAGCCATCAAGGACGAAATCTTGCCATTTGCAACAATGTGGATGGACTTAGAATGTATTCTGCTAAGTGAAATAAAACAAAAAAAGACAAATACTGTATGATTTCACTCATGTGGAATTTAAGACACAAAAAGAAAATTTAACTAAAGTTTAAATAAAAACAAATTACAATTTTTTAAATTTCTTGATACCATTTCTTGTTTACAGAAATATCTCCAGTCAAAGGAATATATATTCAATATCTAGCATTTGGTAATACAGAATAGCATAGAACACGAAAAACATCCTGCTTCATCTCACAACCCAGAGCTTGCCTCTCAAGAGTTTTGGTCATCACATTCAATGGATCTAGGGCAAAAAGAAGGAACTTAACTCGCATACAGTGGATACTCTCCATATCCTGGCTGGATGCATGAATGCTGGAAGAGAACGTGGAGAGCAGCCCGTATGTCTTGCTGATAGACTTGACTTTATAGATCTTATGGTCATTTGTCCTCTCAGGTTTGCCTTATTCTTCAGACATAGCAGAATCTTGGCCAGATCACAACCAACTTTCTATTTAGCAAGGGAGCACTCTGGAGGGATGGCCACTGTCCTGCCTCCATTTCTCTGGCTCATTCACTCAGCAAATACTATGTGCCCATTATGTGCCTGGAATACAGAAGGACAACTAACGTGGCTCCTGCCTTATTAAAGCTTAATCTAAAGAAGACAAAACATAATAAACGTAAAGACAACAATAAATGTATATATGCACCTTGTCATGAAGTGTAGAAGAGGAAGAGAACAGGTGGCTGGGAAAATAAGCAGGGCCGTGATCTGACTCAGGAGGGGTCAGTCAGGGAAGTCCTCTCTGACAGAAGTACAGGTCAGAAGGTCAAGGAAAAGCAAAAGGGCAGGTTCTGAGGCGGTCAAACTTGAAGAGGGTGTGGCCTACGAATACTGAAGCAGACTGTTGAGAGGAAAGACTGTCGCAGAGGTATGCAGGTCATGCAGGGCTCGCGTAGGTAGGTCATGGAGGATTTTAAATGTTTTATGTATGTTTGGAAACCAATATATTTTTTGTAATTTAAATCGCATTTATTTTTAATTGGTAAAATTCACGATTCAAAGCATAAAAGAACCAAGATTATTGAATGAAAACTCCCTCCAGCTTCCTAGCCACCCAGTTCCCCTCCCCTGAGCTGCTGGTACACATTGTTCCGTAAATAAGCAGAAGCAAGCATATCTATTAATCTATATTATATTTTAAGCAGGGGAGCGAGGCCATCAGATTTGTGTTTTAGGACCACCCGAATGCCGCGAGGGCACTGGCTCTCAGCGTTCAGAGCGGCACATCCCAGCACACGCATTTCACAAACCCTACTCTGCTGCGGAGGACCAGACCCCCTAAACCACCCCTCCCCCAAATCCTGCCCCAGGGCTTTCTAAATTGCAACTCCGTTTGGCTCCCACGCTCGTTCTCACGCTGTGCTCCTGGCAACAACCTAGCGCGCCCGCAGCTCCTGGTCCGGAACCCTGGAGTTCGGCACCCAGCCCACGTGTGCTCATGTGTTTCAAACAGAGACGGGAGGGGAGCTAACAAACGCCAAGGCGGGAAGGCGGGCTTTGCTCTGGCTGAGACAGAGGCGGGTCTGAGAGTGGCTAAAAGTGGGGCGGGGCCAAGGCTGGGGGCGGGGCCAAGTTTGAGGGCGGAGCCGATGGCTCGCATCTGCTGCTGCGGTCTCCAGATCTCCCGCTGCTGTGATTCGATCTGAGACCCGGGCCACCCAAGGGGCAGTGGGCGCCCGTTGGCCCTGGGTTCTGTAAAGTCCCGAAGGTAAATCTGCCTAGGAGCCGGGCGGCTTGAGCCAGAGGGACCGACGACGGGGCTGGGCGGCTGGATGGCGGCAGAGGGGAGCGTCGCGCGGCGAGTTTCCCCAGAAAGCTGAACTCGTCGCAAAGTTTCCTGTGCATCAGCTTGCACCCTGCGTCTTGGTGGCGGGCTTTTTCCGTGCGGGTGGTCTCTGGGCGCTGGAGAGACGCGGAGGTAATTGGATTATTCCGCCTGGGCACAGCCCAGATTTCCGACTCGGACCACGCAGCGAGGTGGGCGCAGATTTTGCCCAAGAAAGGGTGGATAATTGACACGCAGTTGTGTCGCGCACAGCAGTCGGGTGACTGCCAGACTCGGAGCGCGTGTGTTTGCAAGGCGTGTCTGGTTGTCCGGAGGCAAAGTTCCATGACTTCTTTCCTCTTTAGGCAAAACTAACCGCGTGCCGTTCCGTCTCGGGCTGACCTCCGAGTCTCCGCTATGGACAGCGAGAGTGATGTGGATTTTTCTAGCAACGGCTTAACTCCTTTATGGCGGAGGCGGTCAACTCCGCAGCCTCAGTTGCTGGGCCGGAGCAAGCCGAGGCCCCAGTCCTACCAGAGCCCCAGCGGGTTGCTGATCACGGATTTCCCAGTGGAGGACCGAGGGACGCTCCCCGGCGTGCAGACTCCTACCCAGGTACCCACCGCTTCTGAGGGCAGGACAGTCCAGGGCACCCCCCTGTTGCTGTGTACTCATCGGAGGGTGGTGACCAATGGGAGGACCGTTTCCCCGGAATACAGAGCTGTCTCTCCTCGGCTCCGACGGCCCAAGTCTCCCCAGCCTCCCAAAGCGTTGTCAGGGGGCTCCCCGAAATCCCCAGCGAATGGCACGGTGACCTCGCCCATGCCGCAGCCGCTGCGCCCCCAGCGGACTCCTAACTCGCCCGCCTGCTGTGGCCGGGAGGGAGACCTGACCGGATTGACCACCAGCCCCCTGCTTTTGCCTGCTGCAAATGGGCTCATCCCTGACGTCGACTCCCCCGGCTCTGGTCCGCAATCCGGCCAGACGACTACGGACCCTGAGCCGGGACCCTCAAAACTCTCTCCTGCGCCCCAGAAAAGATCTTTGGAACCAAAACTCCCCCTCCAAAGGCTGCCCTCACGGGAGAACGAGCTCCCAGAGAACCCTTCAGTGGTTTTGAGCACAAACAGCCCGGCCGCCCTCAAAGTGGGGAAGCAGCAAATCATTCCGAAGAACCTGGCCTCGGAAATTAAAATAAGTAAATCCAACAGTCAGAATGTGGAGCCCCACAGGAGGCTCCTCAAGGTACGCAGCATGGTGGAGGGCCTCGGAGCGCCCCTGGGCCCCGCAGAGGATGAGGGCGAGGCGGAGAACGACGTGGACAGTCCTGGGTCTCTGCGGAGAGGCTTGCGGTCCACGTCCTATCGCCGGGCGGTGGTCAGTGGCTTTGATTTTGACAGTCCGACCACTTCAAAGAAGAAGAACAGAATGTCCCAGCCCGTTCTGAAAGCGGTGATGGAAGACAAGGAGAAGTTTTCCAGTCTGGGAAGGATAAAAGTAAGGGTGAGCAGGAGTGTCACTCATTAAGCCAGGCATTCACCAAGCCGAAAGCCAAGGTGTTGGGGGTAGGGAGGAGGGGCACAGAGGAAACCAGAAGTTATTGTTCTCTTTTAAATCTCTTGCTGATCAGATCTGTGGTGTTGAGGAGACATCTGTCTCTTGGCCATTCTGTTGCAGGCAGTCACAGCCAGGTTAATGCAGCTTTGTGGGAGGAAGTCAAGCTCTTATCACTGTTTTAACTTTCTAAACTCGGGCAGAATGGCAGAATGTGGGGGAGAAATGTGAAAAAGAAATACAGCAAATTAGGTTTGGGCTGAGTGAGTCCTGAACACTTTGAATACAGGCAGCTGAACAGGGGGTGGAGAGCAGGCGTGGTACTCTTGACCGAATGGTCAAAATGTCTGGTGCTTGTTTACAGGTGTCTATTAGGGGTTGCTGATTCATCACAGCCGATACAGGAAACTACTCATTTCTTTTGATCGTATTGATTATTTTAATTATTGAAAGTGATTTATGTTAATTACTGTTAATTACTGAGTTACTTTTGGAGAAGCGATAACGTGCTAAATGCCATTCAGGTCAAATGTGAATTTTAAAGTTAATTGCCGGAATCACAAAAGAGGCAAGTGTTTGTCATTTTGTTGTTGCTTGTCTCTCACCACTGTCTGTGGTTGTATTTTATTCCCATGTTGTGTCCATTTATTCTTGAGAGAATTTAACAAGTTAGCAGCTCAGAACTTCAGATTCAAGTGAACTCTGTAGTATTGCTCCCCGATAAAGGCCTAGAAATTGCATAGGTTAAAATACTGCCAAATGTGACATAAAGAGATAGGGCAAACTAAAGAAGGAAGTTTTGGAGTGTGTATGTGCTGCTCTCTCCAGAAACAAGACAGATTTCAGCAGAAATTCATTTTGGCAGCTACAACTTTTCTTGATTAATGAGAGAAGTGGAACCAGTTTATACAAATGCCAATATGTAATAGACAAGTAAGGCCATTTTATTTTCGACCTCACAGCCTTAAAGAAATTACATAACATTTTAGGTGCTTTTTATCCCCCACCCCCAGCTCTGCAAGTATAGCACAGTTCAGTTTAACAGTGATGGTGAATCACCAGTAGTGAAATGAGCTGCTTGCTGGTCATTTGAAGATTCTCAAGCTGCTTTGCTGGGGCCTGTGGGATGTTGTACGTTTTATTTCACCATTTTACTGAATTGTAGTAGTCAGATGAGTGAGCTGCTCAAAGGATCATCTGCTGTATGCTTATGGAAATCTAATGAATTGTAACAACAAAAGAAGTAATTTTCTTAAAATAGCTGTATTTTCTGTTTGGCTCATTCATACATAGTATGCTTTGCTTTTTCCCTTTTTTGCTTTTCTTGTTTCTTAGAAAAAAATGCTGAAAGGACAAGGAACATTTGATGGGGAAGGTAAGCATTTGATTTTCCAGACTTTTATTGCTGTTTCAATGTGGAATATCAATTATAAGTTGAAATCCAGCTGCAGTAACAAAAACACTTAAAATGAGAAAAATGTCCAGCTTCTTCCCAAATTATACAGTACAAATCTCTGCACTAAGCTAAATTTTCATCCAGTAATACCAGCAGTGAATGGAATTAACGGCATTCTTTGTAAGCTGATAACTTTGTTAGCCAATGTCCTGGATTTTTAATTCTTATCTACCTTGGCTCCATCTCCACCTCCCTCAAAAGATGGACAAAGACTAAGAGCTGGCTCTCGTTTTTTTAGTTAAAAATCCCGAGTTTGGCGTTTAAATCTTAAGTCCTATTTCCTTTGACTTAATATTCTTTCCCCCCATTTCCACATTTTAGTATATCATTACCGACTTCCTGTTTGCTTATCAAGTTTCAGCTTGGGGGAAATCTAACTCTCCTGGCTACTACAAACCTATACCTAAGAATTTGTAACCCGTATAGTATTTTTGTGAAGGATCAAAAAAACAAAAGCTGCTTTAGCCAGGTGTTCAAACCCTAATCAGATTAGAGGACTTTGTATATACAGATGGGTCAAGTGTCAACCAAGTAGAAGAGCACAAAGCAAACGGCCCCCATCCCCCAGCTCTCTAGAGCTGGAGGAACATGGTGGAGGTAAAGGTAGTTGTTTTCTGTCATACTTTGAAATGTTAAGATTTTCTAATCTTTCAAGAGTAATGAAGAAGGGGATGCCTCTCTATCAGTAAATCTAATGTAAAATATCACCCAGAGATATAAAATACATAATCTTAGGTGATTACAAAATATGTCCCTCTGTAATTCTTATAAAAACCCATTCCCTTAGAGCATTGAAACATGACCAGTTATGAAAATGTAATTCATTGCACCAGTCTTAGGTGCAACGAATATGTAAAATATATGATATTGTAGCTGGTTTGGGCAAATTCATCTCCCTGATTCTATAATTGACGAAACTGGGAGCTTGGAGAGGTTTAGTGTCTTGCCCACCATCACATAGCCAGTACGAGGGCAGATAACTGGTCCTGAGTCCATTTTGCTTCCTTTTGAATCAGTTTATGACCATGAAGTAACTAAACAGCATCTACCCAATAGGCATTTGGAGAGATGGTTTGCATCTTTTAGAATTTGACATTGATTCTGGGACCTTTGTCTTAAAGGGTTAAAAATGTTGAGCTTTTGTTTTGTTTTTTTTTTTTTTTAAGTCCGAGGACAGAACCTTTTTATTTTTATTAATAGTTGTATGTTGTTTCCTTTTATAAGGAGCTGTTTCTGTGCACTCTTTTATCTCTTCTCAAATATGATAGCCTAGGAATTTTTTTCACATATATGTATATGAGGATTACAGGATTCTTAGAGTTAATGACTAAGAAGAATGTAGCTTAGGATGAGGTGCAGAAGAGTGGTAAGAACCCCCAGCCGGAGACCTGGGTTCCCATTCTACGGTTTTTGTTCATCAGTTGAGTGACGTTGAGCAGGCATTTTAACCTCAGCAAGCCTCAGTGTCCTCATATGTGAAATGAGGCTGATAATACTATTGCCTTTGTTGTTGTGAGAACGAATGAGTCATCTTATCAACAGTGTACACATATATTTTGTGCCAGCCTCTAAATTCTTTAAAGAACACTACAGAGGTGTGGTGACCCAGTCTTTACCCTCATAATCTCTTTGACATATGCAAACCCATCAGAGAACAGTAAAACCTTGCATCGACTCCAGTGTGACTTTAGTCATGGTGCATATAGAACACGCAGTAATTGATGAGGAGGCAGAATCTGCCTTCTTCGGACGTGGGAAAGGCGTTTCAAACTCAGTAAGTGCCAAATCAAATTCATGATCTTTCTCTCTAAAGCGACATCTCTTCAGGTGTTCCCATCGCCTGCGGTGCAGCTGTTGGGACCTGCAGATGTAAGAAACATCCTTACTACCTCCCTCTCTCTGACTCCCATTTCCAGGCCATCCTCAATAGCCCTTCTCCATTCTTCCATAGCATCCTAATTAGTTCTCTACGCAGTCAGTAGTTCGCTCCAACAATATAATCAAATCTTTTCCTTTCCATGGATTCCCTTTGTAATCGGGCTAGAATACAGTCTTTGCAGTGTGGAAGAAGTTCAGTTGTTTTGTAGTTGGGAATAAATCCAGTTCTTTAACATTGCCTGCAAATCTTTGCTTGATTTAGACTATCTGGCTCATCTCCCTAAACCCACCTTGCCCCCTTTGCCCAGTAGACACCCATATTCTACACGTTGACTTTTCTGTTCTTCTACGGTATCATGTTTCTTTTTGCCTCAGGGCTTTTGCATATACCTTTTTCTTTAGCTCTGAAACTTCTCAGTTTTCAGATCTTAGATTTTTCCCACCTGTCTGACTGCCCCCCACAACCCCTGTGCAGGTCACACCCTGTTGAGGGTCTGTTCTTTGAGCATCCATCTAGAAATCGTTCAGTTTATAGGCCCGTATGTGTGCAAGATTATTTTGTCCTCAACCCTACAATGACTTGCCTTCTCCCTCAGAATGAAAACCAGAGTCCTTTCAATGGCTTTGAGGCAAGGGTCTACATGATCTACCCTCTCTTCATCCCCTACCATCATCCCTTAAGCTTTCTCCCTTCTCTCACCCCATTCCAGTCATACAGGCCTGCTTGCTGGTCCCCACACATAGAGCCATCCCGAACAGACTCCTGTTCTAGGACCTTTGTACTTGCTCTTCCCTCTGATGGGGTGTTTTTTCACCAGCTGTAATGTGTCTTGCTTTCTCACCATTTTTAGATCTTTGCTTAAATGTCACCTTGGTGAAGTCTTCCTAAGTATGCTGTTTAAAATCTACATACCCTCCTCGTTAATGCTTCCTCCTTTCCCAGTTTTACTTTTCTCCATGACACTTAGCAGCATCTGACATACCATAAAAGGTACTTATTTATTTATTGTCATTCTCCGCTCACTCTGATGTCCGCTTACAAAGATTGAGATTTTTATCTTTTTTGTTCATGGTTGTATCCCTAGTGCCTCGCAGTTGTTGGCATCAAGGAGGCATTTTCTAAATATTAGTTGAATGAATAAGTGAGCGAGTGACTTGGAATATTTTTCTCTAACTATTTTTAGCTCATGAGGGCACAAGAAGTTTCTTTTATTTTCCATTTACTCCCAGCCCTTGACACATTGTAGATATACAATAAATGTTGGTTAAATAGGTAAACGAATGGTGATGGGCTTTGAAGGAAAGGTAGGATATGAATTCAGTTTAACCTAAAAAACAGCACATTAACAGCCTTGGCTCTCCTCTAGGGGTGGTAGACAGAAACATGGAAAGTTTGCTTCCATTGGTATTTCACATACGGATCCCTCCCACTGTCCTGTAGATGAATTAGGGACAGAGCTGTTTGAGTGAGAAAATCACTTTTTGGTAACTATTCTTCTGTGATGAAATTCATTTGTTTCCTTGTTGCTTATTAAATGGGAGCCCAAACCTTGTGTAAATATGGATGTTGGTTTAGAACAAGTAGCATAAAGACAGGGGCAATTCGTGACCTGTAGGGTTTGTATTTCTTCCAGAAAATGCTGTCCTGTATCAGAATTACAAAGAAAAGGCTCTTGACATTGACTCTGATGAAGAGTCGGAGCCCAAAGAACAGAAGTCAGATGAAAAAATTGTGATTCACCACAAGCCACTGAGATCCACATGGAGCCAGCTTTCTGCGGTGAGTGTTTACCTTTTTCTTTCCGATCTGTGGCATGAAAAAACCAAGTTGTGGAAATTAGGTCTGGTTGTGGTTTTAACTTTTTCTGCCAGTGATCCTGTAACCCAAAAGAGAAAGACTCCTCTTCTCTTTAGATTGTGAAATGTTTCTTGAAACTCTTCAGGCACTGGTGAGAACATGGACTTTAACACTTTCAATCAGGAAAATCAGGTTTTGATAAAATAAAGTGCCTTGACGCTGATATATTATACTCTGGAAACTACTCCTGCTCAGTATCTTTTCTTTTTCTTTTTCTTTATATAGTATATATGTAGAGGTAACTTAATCTATCTTGAACTTTATCCTAATTATGGCTATATTTAGAGATACATGCATGTGTATCTCTGCACAATAGGGAGTTAATGACAATTCTTCCTTGGAAATTTCCTTTGATATAGACACACTTATATGTTCTTGCAGTTGATTAATGAATGGCATTCTGTTCCATATCCCTCTGTGCATCTTTTGTGTGAGCCTGTCTGACACTTATTTTGTGTCGATGAGTAATTTCTCCTCTCTGCATCAAACATCTTTTGTTTATAGCCATAATTTCTCTTCCTCCTGGCTTAACAAATGTCACAGTGTGCTGCTTAGTTTACTCGATATGAGTTTGGGTGCAGCATCTGTGGGCATCTGATGCATTACCAAGTAGAATGGAATTCCCATGGCTGGCTTGAGTGGTGGGAGCATTGCATCAAAAAACAAGCCAGTACACCTCTGTGAGTCCCTTAGGCAATGTGGGAGCAGAAGCGATTCCCTCTTAAGCTGAAATGAGCATTGTTCAGCATCGAGACTATCCTGTATTTAGGGATTGCACCAGTATAAGAAAAAGAGTTGTAGAAGTTGGAGCTCATAAACATGGGAATGGATGTTTGGCAACGATTGAGGATGACTTCTGGTCGGGTTCTTCCTCCCCTCTTCTACTCTCTGTTGAAATTCAGAATTCTAGAAAACTAGCCCTTTCTCCCTAGCTTCCGCCCAGCCCCTAATTCTGTTCTAAGGAGAATTTATTCATTTCCAGTGCTTCCAAGGTGTGGCTCCCTTAGTATTATTCCACACACTGCAGTGTCTGTGGGGGCAGGGCAAGTAGTGGTACAAGGGATGCTGGTGAGTGTGGAGGCTGAGGCCCGATGGGGACTGTGGTGAACAGACTTGATAGAACCTGAGCAGCGGCCACTTAGCTCATGGCAGCCCTGGGTCGCCAGACCTTCTGAGGTTTCGAAAAGAGAATGAAGAAATTCAGATTTTTAAATGAGTGTTATCCTAATTCAAGTTTTAGAAAAACGATGTGCGAAGCTAACAAAGTATTTTTGGGCCAATCTTGTCTCCTGTTGGAGACAGGAACTTTTGTGATATTTCTGTGATTTTCACATGTGGTCAGGTGGTCACACCCATCCACAGAACTGACATGTTGGCAGCCTTACACCCTAATCTAATGATCTCATGATATTAAATCCCCAAACACATATGTGGAGAAACTGGTGACAGGCCCGGAGAGGCCATGCTGACTCTAAATGGCTGTCATCCCACTGTTGGTGTGGACCATTTGGTCGAGGATCCTCAAAAAGAAAGTTGTGGATTTTTTGAGTTGTTCTTCTGTGGTGGCAGCTGCATTTGTTAGCATGGGCCTCAATCTTGCTGCTATTCTCTGCACGCCAAACAGAAATGTGTGTTTCCATATCACTCACACTCTGATCCAACCTAGCTTCAGTGCTGAAGATCAAGCTGCCGTACTTCTGCCCCCTGAAATTTGGCTTTCATCTAGATTTGCAGATGCATATTAAAGTAATACTCCAGTACATACTCCGTACAGCTTCAAATATAGGCATGCGTTTCATTTGGCCAAAAATAAATCGATGTGCCTTTTGTTAACAAGACCGATATCAAAAGACGATCTGGTGATAAAATGTTAAACTGTAAGGTGGGTTCTAACTTTAGTGTGTGTTATCTTGGATTTTAGTGTTTCCAAGAGGCTTGTGTCTATTTATTGTGTTGCTTGGCAATCACATTTAATCAAAGCAGCGCTGGACTTTGCCGCTTCCCATTCTTAGGCACCAGCTTGCATTTCCTTTATGCTTTGTGTGTCTCCTTTTCACACTTAAAATGTTTTACTTTAGTTTTCTATTGTAAAGTACTCGAAACATGCAGAAAAAACTCGAAAATAAGTATGTGTAATAGATTTCTGGGTACTTGCCACCCACACGGAACAAATGTTATCGTTTTAACATCCAGATCTCTCTTTCTTAAGGCAGATCTAGTTAACTACTCTCATCTCCAGCACTTTTCTCCTTTCTGCCTTCCCACATGGGTTTTCTATCCACTAAGGAGAGGCAAGCAGCTCTGGCTTTTAGCAAAGTAGATATTTCAGCAGCAGAAAGTAGACATTAATTTTTTAGAAGCCAAGCAGTTGGTATGTCCAAGTCACCGTTAGGACCCTAAAGAGAGGAAGCTTTGTGAATTATGAACAATGTCGGGATGTTTCCGTATCAGCGCCTCCATTTCTGTTTGACCTCTTGCCCTAATCCTTCTAGAGGGGCTACAGTGCTTAGGGTGGATGTCAGAAAACATCTGCTCTTTCCATGCTTCCCTTTAATGTGCTAAATTAGTAGGATAACCCCCCATTTTATTTTGCATATATCGCTTTATTTAAAAAAAGTTTTAATGTTTATTTTTAAGAGAGAGAGAGAGTGAGAGAAAGAGAGAGAGCAGGAAAGGTAGAGGGAGAAAGAGGGAGACACAGAATCCGAAGCAGGCTCCAGACTCTGAGGTGTCAGCACAGAGCCCAATGTGGGCCATGGGGTCATGACCTGAGCTGAGGTCGGATGCTTAACCAACCAACTGAGGCACCCAGGTGCCCCTTGCATATATCACTTCAATACAAACCTCTTCTTTGACTAAGGCCTTGATCCCAGAAAGAGAGTAGGACAAGGGGTTTTCTGGCAAAAGGTTAGGTCTCAGTTTGGCATCTACCTTGACTTTCTACTTGGGAGGGGTGTGGTGTGAGCTCCTGTGTGCATTGGCTGTTGTTAGTTGTTTTATTTTCTAAAAATTTGTTTGTTGCAAACACCAGCCTGCCTCCTGGGATGATGAAACTCTCCTTATCAGTTGACCGTAAGGAGCATTCAATATGCAAAGGCTCTTCGGAAGTGCAGCAGTTGGCAGTAATTTATGGTTACTGCGTCGCTCTTGAAGCCTTCAGTCCATAGTGTAGTATCTTAGTGTCCTTGTTTATATGTCTCCTTTGGTTCTATTGGACAATCACACAGGTGACAAGTGTCCCCATTTACATTGTTGGGGACAGGTTTAACAATTGGGTTGTGATTATCTAGCAATAAGGGAGAATTAGAACTGCGTAAGAGACATTTAATTGGACCTCAGTGGGATGGAGAGTGTAGCTGCCACTGACTTCTCTAGTCACGTTAACGTGACTTGATGGTGATGTGCTCAGCAACGGTGGCTCTGCCAGCAGGTTCTCCAGGCCGAGGTGGCCTTTCTCCTGTAGTCGGGAATATAACCTGGGCTCCTGAATTTCATAAGACAGTCACAGGCTTACTCTTCATTCACTTGGTTGTCAATGTAGGCAGATCTCTGAGTAGGTACAAAGTAGGTGGATATAGAATGTCTGCATGTCAGGTAATATAACTTTGTGCTGCTCTTTGAGAACACTTCTATATGAGAAACAATTTTGAATCATTATGGTTCCCGGTTTTGAGGTGCAAAGGATTTGAGGTTTTGAGTGGGGGAAGTCATTTTTGACTTCCAGGGATCTTTGCCCAGGGACCAGATCTGCCAGGGATCTGCCACCCACAGTTGTGCTGCCCAGCGACTCCCCTAAAATGGCAGCATGAGGACTAAGCCAACAGTTCTTGGATCCCTGGGAAAAGCCTATGGGTTTGGAGAGAAATATTGATGATTAGTCTGGGGTGTTATTAATATTAGTCTGGGAATAATGTTATTAGTCTGGGATAGAACACTGAGTGCGTGTTACGATTAGTGCCAGGTGTGTAGCCAGCTGAGTCCTGGATGCAATGTGAGGTTCAGGATTTCCCTAAAGCTCATCCTTTACTGGGATCCTGGAAGCATGTACAGTATTACCGGAAGTAAAAGGTAGATCTTGACTGGAGTCTTTTCGTTTTTCATCACAACCACCCCACCCTTCCCCAGGATCACACAGTGTGCGTGTACTAAAAAACGATGGTTGTGAAATCACTGTTTGCTCTGTCAAGATCAGCGACAGCACCAAAGCCACCCTCGCCAGCTGTGCCCCGACCCCGTGTATTTGCCATGGGGCGTGTTTGTGTAACTTCCTTCACCTTGACATGCCAGGTACCTTTGAAAAGGGTGTTCAGACTCCACAGGCGAAAACAAGCACGCAGGCCGACTTTCTGCTGGAATCCAACACCTAATATAGTCATCCTCTGCTGTACTCTTCATTTGCACTTGCTGACATGGGGCTTTATCAGTAATCTTAAATCATTTTGAGTATCCCTTTAGGTTGTTCAAAAATGCTAAACTCTCTAGTGAGGAACTGTTTTTTCTGTTTTCATCAGTGTTCCTTCATCTGTGCGTAGTGTGGCTGATGGCTTAACAGGAGATCAGATGTTAGGACCTCTGTCTCTGAGTCCTGGCTCTGATCTTAAGGCACACAGAGTTTGCTGCTGGACGCCTTTTGGGAACTGCCAAATGAGAAAAGATGATTTGAAAAACGGTGATTTTATATACATATAATTTCATTCAGTTGGCTATATAACGGACACTTTGGAGACTTAGCAGTTTTATCTGACAGGACTTACTCTTTCGGACTTTATACTGTGTTCATGGTGAGAGACCTGTTTTCTCCTAAAAATCAGAGCTCAGTAGATGTGATAAACCTGAATATCATCCTGTTTGCAGAAATGCTTAATGCACTTAGAGGTCCTATAAAATTGCATTCTTTTTCCTTACATTTTCACACTTCTCTG